CCCCCCCCCCGAGGACACTGTGTACGTATGCACCACTATATACGCAAGACTCGTACCGCCTGCCCTAGCTACCTTTACCAGTACTAATGAATTACTAGACACTGAAAATATATAGATATACTATATATCCTATATACATAGCTGCTACTCATCGTCTCGTCACTGTGTGTGATCTCGACACGTACTCTACCACGGCATCGCCTTACCCTACCGCTCATCACCGGGGGGTAGAAAGTAGTTCGAGGTCTGGGGGTAGCTAAATTACACCCCTGGGGGACCAAGAGACGGGAGAGCCCACGAAGGGCACAACAGCCCGGAAGCAAAAGTCAGCTAACTTTAATTAAGACATAGGTGCTTGGCTCAATTCGCACTTTAAAGCGGACCAGGGTGCATTCTTATATCATTTTAAAAAATGTCAAAGGTCACGGCATATAACTTTTATATCGTGTTGCCTTAGTAGCTTTCTTTCACCCTTTTTTTTTTTTTTCAAGACCTTGACCCGCGTCACGAGGACGTATGTTAATTCATTTAAAATACCTATGTCTGCACGTCCCAAGAACCATTTACCATTTCCCATTTACCATTTAGCGAATTCGGCTACGTTCCAGAGATATCTCGAGAAAATCCACGCACAATATCCATGGCATAATGGTGTAGATGGTAAAGCCTACCTTGCCATGGATCACCTTAATGCATGTATTCATACGGTAAGCCGCCGTTTTGAATGGAGTCCATAGGGGTTCCGGGGACTGTGGGGTTTCGAATGGATGCACCCTCGTGACAAAGCAACTCTCCAACTTGGTCAATATCATATCCTTACTGGTTATCAATATAGAAAGCTTGACTGAAGAGTTCAGCTGTCATGTGGGCGGAGGATCCACGTGTCTGGTGAACGTGTACCTGGTAAAGGGATGGAGGTTAGAAAGGGTGTTAAATCAAAAGATCCTGGTTAATGGTCCAGGGTGGTCCGTTCTTGCTGTTACTGTCGGTACAAGGTTGTTTATTTAGGATCAAAGGGATCCTTCGTGATCAGAAGCATCTCAATATCTTCTGAACGCCAAACACCAGAGCCACTAGGTAACACGTGGAGATCATGCGATCAAAACCAGTAGGAAAATTGCAACCCCTCGACGTAAGGGTGAAAAACATTCGTTGTAGATTACGATTCTCTCACATAAATCCATCTTGCCGAGATAAAATAGTGGAGTACCAGCTCTGAAGGAAGATGTACGAAGCAAGCACGCGAGCTCCATAACTCAGGTTGACCAAGCGGTCGAGTTAACTGGGGTACAAAAAAGTGCCAAAAAAGTCATATCTCAATTTTAGTTAAAAAAAAGGAGAAGGCGTCCCTGCGGTCCTAGGGAAAGGATCGCGACCGCAAAGGATTCATAAGCAGAGTATTGCCAAGTAAAAGGGGAAGCCATTCGAAGGTCCTGAATTAAAGGGTCTTATCGCAACCCTTTTGAACAGGGTACGCTTTATATTCAAGGGAATTTACAAAAAATATGGAAGGTGCCCGCAGAAGACACGGAAGAAGAGGATCTAATGAAACGCAAAGAGAAAACAAACTGAGGAAAGTGGATTTGTAATGCAAATAAGCGAAAGGCTGGGTGAAGCGTTCGCATAAGGACGAAGCTAGTGGGCACGTGAAGTAAGAGAAAAAAAAGGTGCAGAAGGAGGGTAGGAAAAAGGGGATGAAAAATAAAGATCATGAAAAGGTCGAAACAAGCCGAAAGAAAATCGAGGGAGCTCTTTCCTTTTTCTTCCACGCGCTTCCTGGTAATCCGATTTGAAATTCTTTCACGGCCTCTGCCGGTGGATCACGTCCATGGCGTTTGGTGAGGCAATCTTAAAAAAAAAAAAAAAAAAAAAAACTAATTCAACCCTCTTAATTACATTCGGAATTGAAGCGATCGTCAAGATCGTGCACCGGCAGAATATATATTAAGGGTTCAGTACCGCGAAAGAATTATTCCCATAATTTCCATTGAAACCACAACGTGAGATTGCCAATAAGAAAATGTTTCTGATGGAAGAGAAAAATGTTTTTTTATCTCGTTTCATTATATCCCAGAGGGGGTTGGCAGCATTGTGCGTCATTCGAATGCATCGTCAAATTAAGAGCTTTTGTCAGGGAAAATGGCCGGCACAATAATCTGAAGCTTCACACCCCGTGAGTGTAGCATCGCTCATTTGAAGCTACACAGTGACCACACTATAGCACATTGTATAC